ATCAGCCAGTTCAACCGTTTCATCATCAGACTCCGGCTCGAATTGGTAAGGTACAATCGATACCATCTTTTCTATGTACTGTATTGACAAGTCTCCAGGGCTGTTATTCCGTCATGGCAATGGGCGTTTCGTTTGCGACACGCGCTATATGCGGTAGACCAATCCAGAGCCAATCTCTCTACGGCTCTGGACCAATCACAAAGGACTGCGCCATCTGACCAATCACAGCAGTGAGGGCTCACCGAAAGGAGGGGTTTAGAGAGACTGATTCTTTAAACTGCTTCGCACGAGTCGTTTACGAATCATTTAGAAATGAGGTAAAATTTAATCTATTTTTTAAGAAAACTAACGTGTTTTTTGACCTTGCATACATGTAAACCTGTTTTAGGAGACTCATAAAACAATATTAGCAACCTTAAAACTGGCATAATAGGGGCACTTTAAAATGCATGAATTATAATTTGTTACGTCAAATATTTTTTAAAAGTTGAAATCAGAGCTTTTTTCCCCACATATACAAATTCAAATATATAAAATTGCCAGCACGTACAATACAGTGTTGTTTTGCTGTGTCCTCAGATATGCTATGGCTGTAATGAACCACCATGTTTGTCCTGTCGAAAACTGGTAAGTTGGGCTTGTTTCACTCAGTCTGTTTAAAGCGTGTGATGTTTATGTAATTTGATCATCAGTGCTGTTTTTGTAAAGGTCATACAATGTAACATGCACAGATGAAACAGCCAAGCCGGGCTTCCCAAAAACATGCTGCACCATTCAAGACATCCCCCTCATCAGGTAGTCATGTGCACTTTATTTCGAGTCTGTGTTTATTTCCAGCGTGATCTGACAGTGTCTTTGTCTTCACTTTGATTCAGTAAATGTGGATCTTTCCCTCCCGAGAGCTGTCTGTTCAGTCTCATTGGTAATGTGGGAGCTTTCATGGGTAAGACTGCTTGTTCTCATATTTCCACATATTCTACACCGGCAGTGACATATCAAATAACGGAGAACAAAAGCATGAATGGAAGCATTCAGCATTCAGAGTGGCAGAGGTGTCGCAAAAACAGATACCTGCATGAGACTTGCAGACATGCTTCTTATTGCGTCATCTCATAAGAATGTTTTCCTGTGTCGCTTGCTTCATTATGTGTTGTGTTATGAGTGAGCTGATATGTTGCGATTATGTGAATAGGGGTTTGATTGTCCTTGTCTTGTTGAAGGTTGGCTGTCATCTGCTTCTATTTCTGTTGTGACATGAAATCAGGGGTGTTATTACAAACTTTTATACACCACACTATAACCTAAATAATAAATCTTATAAATGGAAATAAAAACCATAAGATTTGTGTAGGCTAAGTATTTGAACACTAAAAACATGGTTAAAAAAATGTGTGAATGCATTTGCATTACGGAACAAAATCTTAAGTTAAACATGTATATGTAGCTCAACCTTCAGGTTTCGAACATACATTGGCATTCAAAATTTTAGGATTTTTGAAAGAAAATTGAATTGAAAATTCATCAATTTCATATTTTTCATTAAATATACAGTAAAAACTAATGTTGTGAAATATTACATTTTAAAATAACTTTTCTGTTTAATATATTTTAGAATTTAATTTATTCCTGTGCTGGTAAATTCTATACAGTTTTCAGGGTCACATGATCCTTCAGAAGTCATTATAATGTGTTGGTTTGGCGCTCAAGAAGCATTTCTTATCATTATCAATGTTGAAAACAGATTTGCTGCTTAATATTATGTATAAACCATTTTTTAGGATTCTTCGATGAAAAGAACGTTCAAAATAACAGCATATCTTTGAAATCGAATGTTTTGTAACATTAAAAGTTTTTAGTGTCACTTTTGACAATTTAATTATTTTTTTATGTATTTGGATACTCTCAAACTAAAGTGGATTATGAGAAAAGTTCTAGCATCAGCTTTTTGTAGATGCTACTTGATTTTATATTTTGTTATCTAATGAAATGAAATCCTTAGTGTACAAATGTTATACACTATTGAACAAAAACTGGTGTATAAAGTACCTGAAAGCCATACTCAAGTAAAAGTACAGATATCTTACCAGAAAATTACTTTGGTAGAAGTTGAAGTCACCGTTTAGAATAGTACTTGAGTAAAAGTCTTAAAGTATGTGATATTTATTGAATTTAAGTACAAAAAGTATTTTTTAAATCTTAAACGTACTTAAGTATTGAAAGTAAAAGTACAAGTAAATGCAAAATGGAAAAGAAGCAAATAAATATATATAAAAAATGTTCATACACCGCTTGAGTAGCAAGATTGTGTTCAGTTTTAACTCTTTCTTCCATTTTGTATTTTTGGGTAAGAATAAGAAGCACTTAATCCGGTACTTAGTGTCTTTCATTCCAACATAAGAAAACATTTCTGGAATCTGCATCTGAAATAGCATTTAGATGTATTTACACAGTTTATGTATCTCAGAGGGGACATGGATGCATTTAAACTGCAGTTACAGATGCATAAATAGGCCTAATGTTTTGTTTTTAACATAAAACGTTGAATACTGATATTTGAAATAATTTAAAACATGAAAAAAGTCGAAATGTGAAATTAAAACCGCCAGTAGGTGACAACAGGTGATTGTTAATGAGTGAGTCATTGAGATTCAACCGATTAATTCAAATGACTGATTCATTCAGAATCAAAGCATTTGACTGTGTTAATGAGTGAATCACTGAATCATTTATTCAACCGATTCGTTCAAAAAGCTGATGAATTCAATAAGTAAATACCATTGCTCAGAGACGCAAAACAGTGCTTTGATCTTTGTTTGGAACTATTTTCGTTAGCAAAATTGAGCAAAAACAAGCAATATTACCTCTGAAATGTAAGTCACTTACTGCTTTACTGAACTTGTATAAAATGATTATTAAATGTGTTATGCTGATATCTGCAGAAAAACGGTACTC